TTTTTTTTGTAGTTTTTTACGGACCAGAAAGTTGAAAATTTTTCTCTTTTTTGAAAAAAAACTAACTTGAAGGTCTGCTGAAAAAAACACCAACCCCCCCCCCCCCCCAAGATTAAAAGGGCATGGCCTTATACAGTGTTTCAGCACATCGTTATTTTTCAGTGGCCTTCTATTGAGGGTCAATTATTAATTAAAAAAATTAAAAATGAATTAATAATCTTAATTATTTTTTTAGACTTTTTCACTGAAAAAACTGGCATTTTTTTGAAAAAACTTTACTATTTACGATAGGACAGTGAGAACTTCTCAAAAAAACACTAGAAAATCGGTTATTTTGGCAAAAAAATTATTAATTTTTATTAAAAATTCTTCATTCTTGTAATTAATTAATGAATTAGTGCATGGCCTTCTAATAGAGCGCTTGAAATTTTGTTCGAACACGGCCTTATACAGGGGGTGGCCGTCTATTTGGGGGGGGGGGGGAGGGTAGTTCAAGACCGAAACAATTCGGAGATCTTGACCCAATTATATTTTCAGAATAGCAATCATTAAATAGCATACAATCGAAATATATACAATGGATTTGCATTTAAGAAAGAAAAAGCAATAGATTTTATACGGCAGATTCGGATGATATTCTCAAACTGAGAATCAAGCGCAGCAGTCACGTTGAAAGTGGTGTTTGTTTACCAGGTACTACGCCAAAAAAAATACGCTGGTCAAGAAAATATGTCTTACCTTTGATTGCAGCAAAAGATGACCTTCCTTTGTCGCCTTCTTTCTCCATCGTTGCTAGTTGTTCTTTTGTTTTAAACTTTCCTCCTCCTAATGCTGCCCAAGGTGCAAAAGCCATTCCTTCGTCTCGAAGCATTGGAAGAATCTCTCTTTCTGCATCTCGTTTGGCAGCATTGTACATGCCTTGATAAACCGAAAATTGACGAAGTCCATGATCTCTTGCATATTGATTCGCTTTGGCCACGACCCATGCAGGACTATCACTTGCTCCCAAATAGAGTACTTTTCCTGCTTTAACCAGATGATCGAGAGATTGCATTAGCTCAGGAATCGAACAAGTATAATCCCACCTGGAAAGAGTAGAAGAAATAACAATTTATTCACTAGATAATCACTGTGGGACTGAGTATTTTTACTAGTTCTATCAGGTTTCCTATGTTTTTCCTAATTTCTCATTGAATATGAATAAAATTTTCTTCTATTTATGATGTTTTCTATGAAAGCCTTACAAAATTGCAGATAAGTCAATGTTATTACCAGTGTACATAGAGAAGATCTATGTAATCAGTTTGAAGCTTCTTCAGAGAAGCATTTACACTTTCATGGAGCGACTTTGCTGAATTTCCAGCAAAATTAACGTGAATTGGTTCTTTCTTCCAGTCCGATCTATATCCAGTTGTAAACTTAGTTGCAATTACAATTTGGCTACGATTTTGCCGTTTTGCCATCCATTCTCCCAACCAAGTTTCACTTTGCTCATTTTGATAATTGTTAGCCGTGTCAATAAAATTTCCGCCAGCATCAAAAAATGAATCAAGAATTTTGAATGAATTTTCCTTTGTTTGTGTGCCCATAAACTCCCAAGCATCACCGAGCGACATTGCTCCCAGACAGAGTGGCGATACCCGAACAGCTGCAGTTGGTGACAACAAGCGATATATTCCGAGATCAGTTGGAGGTGGTGGTGCTGGTTCCATGTTTCAATGAGTACAGATCTAGAATATCATAGAAATAAAATGCTAACTTTATGATTTGTTGCATATCTTTATTTCTAATCAGCCAAGCAGTAGAACAACATGGAAACTTTCAGATAGATCATAAGTGGTATAATTTCTTGTAGCGTTGAAATGTAAAACTAACAAGGAATACTCCAACGTTAAGTATTTAGCATGCCTTCATAATGATTAAAATGTATTTAGAACAAGTATAATTAATTTTGTTTTTGAAACTGCTATTCTACTAGCGATTTATTTGAACTATTTAGCATAAATTATATTGTAGGAACTTATTTTTAATATTGACTAGATTAATGTACACATCATGTTTTCTCTCGCCTTGATAGCTTTCTGATATACTGATGATTTTGCCTAAACTAACACTTAAACATAGTGATGCTATTTAATTTATGTATCATCGGTAAAATCGCAGTATTTTTTATGCAATGGTAGAGAAACATTGATATTAGTTATAAGAGAGAAAAATGGACTAATAAACACGGCGATGAAGCTAAAGTTTCTAAAGTTAGTTTTGGATCTAAAGTCAAAATTAGCCGCATACATTAATTCATTCCTTCAAATCACGATATTTCATACGTGTACAATCATTGTGAACGAATTTCATGCTGATGACGAAGTATTTGGTGATCAATAAGAAATAAAACTTTATTGTCTAACAGGTTCTACTACATTCTAATAAAGAAAGATATTCGACATAGAAAAAGATCTATTTCCGATAAATTTACTGAAGATTTCGAAAAAAATTGTGTAAAACACCATAGTTTTCGAGTTTTGTAGAATGATTTAGATTTCTCTTATCAATCGAATACTGTTGAACTTTGAGTACTTGTAAAAGAATAGTAAGAAAAATAATGCAATACCTGAGCTGCTAACCAGATGTCATAACTCAAACACAAGTCATTTTTTTGACATTTTGGTTCAACAATACAATAGTATAAAATTCCTCTTGGGAAACCATCTACGTGTGCACTGCACTAATTATTCAGGAGTAGATTACTCAATTTTCTACTGCTCAATTGTTCCTTTACACTAATTTCATTGGAAAAAAGAATATCGTCATTTTACTTTATGAATATATTAATGTAACGAAAAATAGTATAGAAAGGTGAGGAGGGTAGAGAGTCGTCGATGCGTCTTATATAATCGTGGTGGATGTATATAAGTGTGACTTGAAGGATGCACAACACAAGGAACAATACACTGTGTTAAATTATTTGATAAGATGAGACACGGATATACAATGTTTAATGTAAGAAGACACGACACACAATAAATTCGAGTGAATGGGAGTCTCTATAATGTTATGATCCTTGGCCCAGACTAACTTCGTTACTTGTTCACCAACCTATTTTCTTTATCAATCAATTGTACCAGCTGTAACCAGCGAAGACTGAACTGCTTCGTATTCTATACGAACTGCTTTCTTGTTAAACTATAGACTGCCTGTTCTTTGTCTCAGAGACACCCATATATATAGAGAGAACGGGAGAGAAAGAAAAGAGTGAGTAATGGGAGAAAATAGACAAAAATGGAAGAGAAGAAAAGGAGAGAGGAAAGAGAATCAAGAACGAATTACGCGATGCTCGAGCGAGAACAAGGGATGGGATATCAAAGGACGTCCGACGTCCTATGTAAACGCTATTAGTGTCTTCATGTTGGAATAGTATGCTTCTTAGCATCGTACAACGTGGTATCGGCTGACGTAATCCGAAGAGACTAAGTGCTCTATTGGCACAATCATTATACATAGTATTAATCAAACTATATACTTAATTTGTCAAAAAAATTGTATTATTACTTTTATTGTAATATTACCTATTATCAATCAAGTATCAAAAGTTAATAAAATAAACATTATAACAATATCAGGAAGAGAAAAATATTAATTTAAATTA